TCTGTGTTTTTTTTTTTTTTTGTGTATATATATATATATATATATATATATATATATATATATACACACATCGAACTTGTGGTTTTTAATTTGTAAATAACTGTATTTTACTGTTTCTCTGTGTATCTTATGCTCAAAACTTAGGGAATTTGAATTTTCATTAAAGCTGGAGTCATGTGGTTATGAGAAGATTTTGTTATGGTTTTCATAATTTCATTTATTTGGATTCTTTTGTGTGTACAGTGCCAAGACAGCATTTTTCTCCTCTCATGATATGTGTGATATTGTCACCTGGTGGCAGGGGCTCAATGGTCCCCTGAGTAATTTGTCTGATTAGAAAATACTACGTGATTATTTTTTTATACCTAGTTGTGTGTGTGTTTTTCTTTTACTTTGTTGGTTCAGTTACTTCAGCATTTTGAAAAATTTGTCGTGTTTGTGATAATCCGTTAGTGAAATTTGTGTAGAGAAGCTACAGATAACAGATTTGAGTTCTGATTAGTTCTGAATGGTGTCCTTTGGAAGGTTGCTTTTTCTTGTTTGTTTCCAGTCATTCTTCTTGCTTATATTTACGCTCCTTATTGCAATTGGGGTGTGTAGGGCGTCGGATTTTCCAAGGGAATATGATGGTGCATGCCTTCAGATGAGAATGTCATACAGTCCAGCAGCACACTTGTTTCTCTTTTTGGTGCAATGGACAGATTGCAATCTCGCCGGAGCCCTTGGACTGTTGAGAATCCTAATATACAAGGTCAGGTTAAGGTGTTTTGGATGTTTCATATTAATCTTGGAAATTTGGTCAAAGTGACAACTAACAAATTTTCCTCATGCTGCAGGTATATGTGGATGGGACAACTACAATGTCTACCCATGAAAGAAAAGCAAGCATCAGAGAATTCTATGGTATATCTATCTATCTTTTTTTTTTTTTTTTTTTAATCTAATAATTAGCAAGTTCGCTGCATTTTAGTCCATATGAATTGCTGATGTATTGAATTTCTGCATTGATCAGCGGTCATATATCCCTCGTTATTGCAACTGCAAAATGGTGTAACTGATACAGAGGATAAAAAACAGAAGGCTGTATGCATGGAGAGGTATCGTAAAAGGGATGAGGAAGATTACAGACAATCTTCAGACATAGACATTGAAAGAGAAGAAGAATGTGGAATATGCATGGAGATGAATAGTAAGATTGTGTTGCCCGACTGCAACCATGTCATGTGCCTGAAATGTTACCATGAATGGTACTTTCTCTCTTTGATGCTCACATTTCGTTATTTATGGCTATGAGTTGTTCATGTTAAGAAGTATGTTGTGAGATTATTTCTTCTACTTCTTGATTCTTTGTATTTCTGTGGGAACATGATTTATGGATGCTTTTTATTTGGTTCTGTTAATTTCATGCCTTATAGATAGAACTGAAGAGAGCATTAAGTGTCACTATAGTAAAATGTAATCTGTCGAGCCTGCTTGGGTTTTCATAGTCATAGTTTTTGAAATTGTCCAATTTGTTTGGGCTGCAATTGTTTATTACCATGTGAAATAAGATGGTTTCTGCCACGGCAAACTTTGCTAGTAGTGTAACAGGCGCCATAAGTGACCTGGTTTTAGAATTCAGTGTGATGCGATAACAGGCACCATGTGTGTGCGTGTTTAGGAACAGGTTCTCAATTTTCATTGTTCTGTTATTGCTCTTAATGTAATTATTCAATTAAAAAGTAGTAAACCGGTGGAGCATTAAACTACTGCAGAGTGGGAAAGAATTGAAGGGAAGTTGATTGCAACTGCTTTGACAAGAATTAAGTGGTTGCAAAAGGAGGTTATCTTGCTCTGCAAAATGTGTTATATTATGTTTTGAACTGGCCAGCTACCAATGTTACAATTGCACTTTCACTCTTTAATGAAATTTGTTTTCTTCCAATGTGAGAAAAAAACAAGCATATAATGTCAGGAACCTGAAGCTTGATTTTATTGACTGAATAAAATTGAACAGAAAATCGGAGAAAGAATTCGTCTCCAAGGATTCCCCGTTTCACAAAAAATTTCTCCATTCACAACTCAATACTACTTAGTTCTTCAATTGATAAAAAATAGAACGAGTCTCCTCTTCCCCTACAGCCCTTTAACTAACTTCTATGCTAAGCTTAACTAACTCTTTCTTACCTCCCTCCTTTCTAACTCCTAACATAAAGATTCTTCTTAACTTGGAGAAATGAAATAGCTTTTTATACTGTACTATTATAGACTGCAGTGATTAGAAAGGAACATTGTGATGCTATTTTCTTGTGGAACTATTATAGGATATCCAACCTGATTATATTTATTAAAGATCTCAGCTGAAGAGTGTCGAAAGAAACAATTTATAATTTAATTATTACTTCTGAGAATTATTGTTAGGAACCAAGAATATTGTATATCCTAACAATTAGGCACAAAATAATTTTGGATAAGCTAACACTCTGGATTCTGCGAGCTTGTCAAGCATACACATTGCCCTTGAGGTTTATTTGTAGGTGAATTCTTTAATTGGAATATAATGGTTTAATTAAAATTGCATGAGAAGTATACTGTATGGATTGGATTATGAAGCCAACTATTGTCCTTTAGTCTTTGACTATTAGAATGATGATTTTTTTGTTTGGATAAAGGTAAAAGATTTTATTAATTTAAGAAGTTTTGACCATAAGATATGGCCAAACTAGCCACTACAACAGTATACATAAAAATCGCCCTGTAAAGTGTATCCCAACTACATATGTAAAGTTCCCCTACCTTATCTGTATATACATGTAGTCGTAGCCCAAAACTGATTAGGAACAATGATTAAACACAGTCGAATTAAATCATCCAAAAATGCAACAGTGTGCCTCTATCATCTAACCGAAAGCAACACAACACTTGATATGAAGACCTCTCAATCACAACATAATTATTGAAGTGGTCTAATGTGAACTGTCTGATTAGGATGACTATTCATGCACTTCAATCTTCTATTTAGTGTTTTTTTATTTTTTATTTTTTTATTATCAAATAAGCATTGTCACACTTGTGAGTTGTATTACATTTCTGACTGGATGGAATCATGAAAGATTTACCTCTCCAGGCTCTTGATGCATTAGTAGTCTGTGCCTGTGTTAACGGTCAATCTGCCAATCAGCTATTATACTGTTAACTGGCTAGGTTTTTCTAAGCAACTCAACATCAGTTATTCTTTTCATAAGACGACTATAGCAATCTAGATCGTGTATAGTTTGTCCTAACCTCTTTCAAATTTGTCGGTGTGATGTGACATGATTTTGTCTCCCATATTTCTGTATGAAATTCTAGTTGCTACATCATCATACCATATCCTTAAGACTCAAGTGTTTTCTTGTTTAGTTGAAAGCTTCATGTAATTTGCTATGTTTTGCAGGAGGACAAGATCACAGTCATGTCCCTTTTGCCGCGACAGTCTTAAGAGAGTAAACTCAGGTGATCTTTGGGTGTTCACTGATAGTAGGGATATAGTAGACATGGCAACAGTGACAAGGGAGAATCTTAGAAGGCTTTTCATGTACATAGATAAGTTGCCTCTGATCATTCCAGACTCTCTTTTTGACACATATGACTCTCACCTAAGATGAGTGATTGCAAGTTGCAACAGACAGATTTTACTGTCTGGTGTGGTCTTGAAGAGGTAGTTACTTCCATTCGATTCATAAACTCCGAATGTAATTCGGAAAATTTAGTTTATATAGAGTTGCAGTGTTGCTTCCAGAAGTATCCAGCCCTGTGTTTATGTGGGTTGGTGGTGAAGTTGAGATGGTAAATTGTATGTAGCTCATGATCATTTGTATATCCTGTACAGATTGAATTACTTATTAAGAAGAGGTTTGCATATTAATATTAATGTGCCTCTTTTGTTAGAAAACGTGAATCTCTGGAGTTCAGAAATACTACTCCCTCCCGAAACTAATACTCCTAATTAATGTGGCTAATGTTATATCAAGTGCATATTTTTATTAGCTTAATTGGAAAGGATTCTTTTATAGTTTTCTTTTTAAATCTAAAACAATGGGCTACTACATGAATTCATATTCTTGGTCAAAAATTACTACTGCGAAATTGTCTAAACATCATCACTCTACCCGGTTAGAAATGAATTGTGGTGTGTTTTCTCTACGATGTTTAGTCGTACAAATTTAGGGTAAATTTATTTTTATTTTTCAACTTTAAAATTGATTTTTTAAGTTTTTATATAATCCAAAATCTTGTTTTAATTTTTCATGTTACAAGTAACATTTAATAGTGAGAGATTAAGATAATTATGTAGTATTAGTTGAGTTTAATATAATATTTTTATTATTAAAAATACTAATAAGAGAATTTTGTACAATATTTTATAAATTTATTGATGAAATTTAACTATAAGAATTAAAATAATATATTTTTTTTAAATTGTAGGGATTAAAATATAAATTTTAAATTGGATTTCTCCCACCAGGTTAGAGTAGTAATTATATGCATTATGTTTAAATTTTGTTGTTGTTTAAGGCGGATTTATCACGGGCAAACACTTTTCATATTGGGTTGGGCCAGCTAATTTATTGGTCGGTTGAAATTTTGTAGACTGTGGGCTAAACAAACTGGCTTATGGCTCACTCACCTTATAAAATATAATTTTACTTTTTTTTTATATAACAAGTTATGAAGTGTTTTTAATCACTATAAATAAAAATAAAAAAGTAGACTTTCTTTTGTATTATAAAATAAAAAATATAATATATAACAATAGAAAAAATAGTGAATCAATTGTAAAATTAAATACAGATTTCAATGTACATAGAATATCAGTTTTAAAATAGATACTAACAACACATGTAATATTAAATTTATTACGTGAGATTTTACATTATAAAAAAAAGAAAAAAATCGACGGGCTATTTCAGCCTATCATAGGCCAACAAATTTGAGGCCAACCAAAATAAGTTTTGGGTTTGAATTTTTACGGTCGAATCCAACCCACGTATCATACTAATCAGAGCCGGTCTATGAAAATATTAGAGTTGATTCGGTTTGTGTGTTTTTTGATATCTAAAATGGGAGTAAGTTGTGTGAAGTTTTATATTGATTTTAACGGTAGAAGAGGAATGGACGATAGAAAGAGCGGAAATTTCGAATGGTGGTGGAATCGAAAAGAGGCATAAAGTTAAAGTATGATGGTAAATTAAAAAGAGGATCCGTCACCGTGTAAGACATGATTTAGCAATTAGCAGAAGTTAATAATAAGAAATAGATATTTATATTTGGTTTGGGCAGATCCGGTAATTTTCCAGGCTGTTATGTCGGATCAAAGGAATTGTGAGCAGTGAGAGATTTGGCAATTTCCTTGTATAAATAGAGGCTTCTTCAATCCAATGTTTCTGTGACTGTGAGGGACAGAGACATAAAAAAACAAATAAAGATGGGTAAAGGAGAAGATCGTGAGGGTGTCGTTGCCGGGGGCTTCTTCTGGTCCTACTCCGACGAACCCCACGCCACACGACGTCGTCAGATCCTCTCCAAATACCCTCAAATCAAACTACTCTTTGGCCCTGACTACTCCGCTTTCTTCAAGGTTTCTCCTTTTCCTTCTCTTTTTCTCTCTCTGCCTCCCAATTTCCTCATTTCACCCTTTTCATTTGCTTTCACAATGCTCATCATAAATCTGCATCATCTACTCCTTTTTTTTATATGCTCTATCCCACTTAGATCTATTCAAGTTGCACAGATCTTTGAACATTCTTGTCATGCGCATTTCAATTTGTACATGATGTTAGATTACGACATGGATTTGAAATGTAGGTTAGGTGGATGGATAAGTTTCTACACGTCATGTATGAGTTTTAAGGTAGTTATTGTAAAAGTGATTAAGCGTTTATTTCTTCAAAGGTGTGTACATTGTGTTAGATTAGGATATGGATGTTAGGTGGATGGATATGGGTTGGTGTGTGCTAACATAGTGTTTGAAATTTGTGTTGTTGCAGATAAGTGTAGTTGTTTTGCTACAGCTTGGTACTGCTGTCTTACTTGGCGATGCAGGGTGGGTGAAGATGTTGTTAGTAGCATACTTTTTTGGTTCATTTCTCAACCACAATCTCTTTTTGGCTATCCATGAGTTGAGTCACAACCTGGCCTTCTCGACTCCAGTCTACAACCGTTGGTTAGGGATTTTTGCTAACCTCCCTATAGGTGTGCCCATGTCTGTTACTTTCCAGAAGTATCACTTGGAGCACCACCGCTTCCAAGGCGTAGACGGCGTTGACATGGATGTCCCTAGCCTCGCCGAAGTTCGTGTCGTCACAAATGTCTTTGCAAAAACCATTTGGGTCTTCTTACAGCTCTTCTTTTATGCACTTAGACCTGTCTTTCTCAAGCCAAAGCCTCCTGGCTGCTGGGAATTCGTCAACTTCTTCATTCAGATAGCACTTGATGTTTCCATGGTTTACTTTTTTGGCTGGAAAGCTCTTGCATATCTGATTCTCTCCACATTTGTTGGTGGTGGCATGCATCCGATGGCTGGTCATTTCATTTCAGAGCATTATGTGTTCAATCCTGATCAAGAGACCTATTCTTACTATGGTCCTTTGAATTATCTCACATGGCATGTGGGATACCATAATGAACACCATGATTTTCCTAGAATTCCAGGAAACAAGCTTCACAAGGTGAAGGAGATTGCTCCAGAGTTTTATGATGATTTAGCATGCTACAAATCTTGGAGCCAGGTCATCTACATGTACATTATGGATCGAACAGTTGGACCATTTAGCCGAATGAAGAGAAAGCCTAGTAAAACCCAATAGATGCTCCCATAGACATCATTCATTCCCTTTTGTTTTGATTTTTCCAACTTTTGGCAATTTTATGCGTAACAGAAGAATGTAAGCTAGTTTTGATCCAAATAGCAAGTCATTTGTTCATATATTGGTTTTGGGGCTCCCTCCCCCCCCCCCCCCCCCCCCTC